TTCGGTTTGGTGAGTTTTTTCTCTGGAATGGATGGAGAGTTTTTTGTTGACACTTTCAACACGATCCTTCGTTCTTGACACAGAAGGAGCCATTGCANACTCATATCCTTAGCGTCTTCTTTGTTAAGGATCTGTAAAAGTCTGTGTTCCTGTAGAGGCCAAGTCTAAAAGAGGCCACAACCATGACCTCTGAGCATTCTTCCACCTTGTTTACCTCCTCCCAATAACGAGTGGCGTATTGACAGAGTGTTTCGCCTTCCTTCCACTGGAGGGTTAATAGTGATCCAACATCCTTAGGGCGTTTGCTCCCTGCGATGAACTTGGCGAAAAATTATCTGGTCAGCTCCTTTAAGGATCCTATACTATTGGGTGAAAGGTTCTCGAACCATTTCATGACAGTGTCTCTCAAGCTTATTGAAAATACCAGACAGAGCAGCTTGTGATCCGAGTGATATAGGGATATCGTTTGCTTTTACTGTCAGAGGTGAGCCTCCAGGTCAGAACGTCCATCATAAACCTTGAACCTTGGCACCACAAATTTCTTTGGTATCTCCATCTCCAGGATGCTCTTGGTGAAATGTGACAGAATGGCTTCATTGTCCGTGTTGTCGTTGGAGGTGGACCTTTCCATCCTCACTAATCCCAGCCTGGCCCTGAGGTTCGCCCCCTAGTTGTGGTGCCTTCCTTCACCCCATTGGAGTCAAGCAGCATGCCCCCCAGCTCCTTCATTCTTCACAAATAGGGTCGACCCCTCCTCGAACTCGTCTGTGCCCCCTCGCACGGACAGTCTTTAACGATGGTTGTTCCAAGCCAATGGTTTTATTTTCTTGGCTTGGACCTCCGAATCTTGTCCATTGGCCCTTGGGCGCTTCGGAGTCTTGGAGCACCCTGCTCCACCACTAAGGCGGATCCTCAAGTCTCTGGGTGCCACCTCCCTAACAGAGGCCCCCTTAGACTACTGCAATGTTCGAGCCAATCTATTTAGGACGTTCACGTTATTCTCCTCTATTTGCCGTAACCGATTTTCCAGTCGTTCCTCGATAAGATCAACGAGTTGACGGGCTAAGGGGCCGTCTTTATAGCCACCCAGACTTAGTTCGGTTTGGTGAGTTTTTTCTCTGGAATGGATGGAGAGTTTTTTGTTGACACTTTCAACACGATCCTTCGTTCTTGACACAGAAGGAGCCATTGCATCGATATTCCTTTGTTGAGGACCCTTTCCTTTCAAACGAGTGTTCACTATAGTCACTGTCTCAAGAAAACTCGGTCTCTTCCCACAGATTGCACCAAACTATGCGCAGTGATTTTTGCACAATAAAAGAAAAGGACAGATCTCTCTTTTGATGAACATAAGATTTACCTGAAAGTCGAGGATCCTGAGGCAATAGGAAGTGAGAAAGATCATAAGTAGTGGTGATGAATTGTTTTTCCAGCTGTTCGCGCGATTGAAAATAGAAGATCATAAGAAGATTTTTGTAATATTGAAATTAGAAGATTTATTTGTACTTGAATATTAAATTGATAAGTGTGATTTCATTGAGGCATTTCGCACTCTCATTTTTATTGAGATGTAAATTGTTGATATCTAACCAAAGAACATCTCCAAGAAACCAGGGCATTACAACTAATGCAACTAACGGCCAGAATTTCATGTCTGTTGACAGTGATGCTCACAAAGACCAAATTAAGAGTTGTCTTGGGTTAAACTTGGACAACTTCCTGTATCTAGGCATTCCTCTCATCTCCACTAAGCTGAGACCAAGGGACTGTGTAACATTGGTGGACAAAACAGATTTCGGGATCAAGAGCTGGACTGACAGTTTTTTATCCTATGCAAGTAGACTCCAACTTACCAAATCTGTGTTATACGAGAATAATCATAGTTACTAGCTCTGCCATATTATTCTTCCTAAATGTGTTTGGAAAAGAATCATGCTGTAGTCAAGGTCTTTTTAATGGTCTGGGAAGGAAGACAATAGATTTGCTACAGAAGTTGCTTGGAGTAATGTTACTAAACCTATACACGAGGGGGGAATAAGCCTTAAGGACCTCCATACTTGGGACGAAACTTTAATGCTTTGCTAAGTTTGGTATATTCTGTATGAAAAGGAAAATCTTNTAGACTACTGCAATGTTCGAGCCAATCTATTTAGGACGTTCACGTTATTCTCCTCTATTTGCCGTAACCGATTTTCCAGTCGTTCCTCGATAAGATCAACGAGTTGACGGGCTAAGGGGCCGTCTTTATAGCCACCCAGACTTAGTTCGGTTTGGTGAGTTTTTTCTCTGGAATGGATGGAGAGTTTTTTGTTGACACTTTCAACACGATCCTTCGTTCTTGACACAGAAGGAGCCATTGCATCGATATTCCTTTGTTGAGGACCCTTTCCTTTCAAACGAGTGTTCACTATAGTCACTGTCTCAAGAAAACTCGGTCTCTTCCCACAGATTGCACCAAACTATGCGCAGTGATTTTTGCACAATAAAAGAAAAGGACAGATCTCTCTTTTGATGAACATAAGATTTACCTGAAAGTCGAGGATCCTGAGGCAATAGGAAGTGAGAAAGATCATAAGTAGTGGTGATGAATTGTTTTTCCAGCTGTTCGCGCGATTGAAAATAGAAGATCATAAGAAGATTTTTGTAATATTGAAATTAGAAGATTTATTTGTACTTGAATATTAAATTGATAAGTGTGATTTCATTGAGGCATTTCGCACTCTCATTTTTATTGAGATGTAAATTGTTGATATCTAACCAAAGAACATCTCCAAGAAACCAGGGCATTACAACTAATGCAACTAACGGCCAGAATTTCATGTCTGTTGACAGTGATGCTCACAAAGACCAAATTAAGAGTTGTCTTGGGTTAAACTTGGACAACTTCCTGTATCTAGGCATTCCTCTCATCTCCACTAAGCTGAGACCAAGGGACTGTGTAACATTGGTGGACAAAACAGATTTCGGGATCAAGAGCTGGACTGACAGTTTTTTATCCTATGCAAGTAGACTCCAACTTACCAAATCTGTGTTATACGAGAATAATCATAGTTACTAGCTCTGCCATATTATTCTTCCTAAATGTGTTTGGAAAAGAATCATGCTGTAGTCAAGGTCTTTTTAATGGTCTGGGAAGGAAGACAATAGATTTGCTACAGAAGTTGCTTGGAGTAATGTTACTAAACCTATACACGAGGGGGGAATAAGCCTTAAGGACCTCCATACTTGGGACGAAACTTTAATGCTTTGCTAAGTTTGGTATATTCTGTATGAAAAGGAAAATCTTTGGGTTGTTTGGGTTAGAACCATATATTTCAAGAAGAAAAATTTTTGGGAAGTAAGACACCCCCCTCCCCCAACGGGAAAAAAAAAAAAATTGCTCATGGAATGGAGGAAACTACTAAAGATCAGAGATGTAACTAGACCCTTGATTCCTAGANGGGGAAGTAAGACATCCCCCTCCCCCAACGGGAAAAAAAAAAAAAAAATTGCTCATGGAATGGAGGAAACTACTAAAGATCAGAGATGTAACTAGACCCTTGATTCCTAGATTGGGTTTCATCTTATGGCTTGCAATTCTTGGATTGCTAGGTAATTTTGATCATGTAAAGAGATATTTGCACTATCTAAACACTACTTTTGTATTCTGCAGAACCACGGAAGAAAACCATTGCCATTTTTCCTTTAATGCCTCTGTCACTAGTGATAATTGTAATTGCTCCTGGTTTCCCTCACCATGTCCCAATTCAATCTTCTCTGCTGCAGAGATTTGGGCAGGAAAATCACTGTCGAATCTTCTCAAGTTGACCCTCTCAACTACTGTGTACTACTCCCTGTGGAAGGAAAGAAGTAGCGGGGTATTTCATAATGAAAAAAAGAAGGCAAACACCATTATCAAATCTATTCTACAAATTCGGCTCAAAAAAAGAAAAAAAAAACTGTTCTACAAATGGTGAGCCACAAGCTATTTACTGTCGGATACAAGCATTCATCCAACATTGGAATTCCTCTGCTTCTGGTGCATTAACACCAGCTAGTTAGACTAGCCTTGACTCATTTTGTAAAGTCTAGACTGCTAAAAGTTCTAAACTCTTCCTGTACTTCTATCAATTTAGCCACTATACTTTTGTTTCCTTTTGTTGCTTCGAAAACATATGCAACCCTCTTGTACATTTTTGCAAAGATGAAATATACATTTTCTTACCCAAAAAAATAATAATAAATGCATAAAACATTCATGCACATTGGGTTCATTCAGCCTAATTGAAATATGCCGGTGGTGTTCATAAATAACTGCCAGATGTTATTCAATCCTATAACTATTTATGCCTCCTTTTCTTTCTTATTTTATAGGAAGGGGCAAGGAGGATGGATTTCAATTCCCCAGCCACATTTTGGCAATCCATACATGCTCAGCCAGTATTTCTGTAATAGACTTTTCACATATGAAAGCAACCCTGTACTATTAAAAAAAAAACCCCATAAACAGTTCATGAGTAAAATACTGAGGAATTGAAAACTACGGAAGTCTTCAACCGGATGAAATTAAGCATACACTTATTTTTTTTGTGTTTAATGTAAATAAAAACAAATACTAAGATAATGGGAACTATTACAAAAACAACCCACACCACACTTATGGTTTAAATGACTGGCACCCTCTTCATAAGCAGTTTCATGCACACAAACCATAAAGCATGATCAAAGGCTGATAGATTTTTTTTTATCTTCGTACTTTTCCTTCAGGGCTGGAATTTCTTACATTTCTGCAACAATCTTTGAGAAAATCATAATAACTCGAGCAAAAGTTGCAATTTGCCATCTTTTTCTATCGATTTGACTAAACGAAGGGTAAATTTGCATCCCATACATTATTAGTTTCATGACTCGTACTTGTATCATATAACATACTTTACATTGCATAGCAATTGGACGGGCGTATTCCACACACTATCCAATTGTATTGAAGAATCAATAAATTTACAAGTCCAAATGCAGACCATTTGTATCAAAGCTAGAGCTCCTCAAGGTTGATGAACTTGAGTACAGCTGACCAAAAAATCTTGACAGGATAAGCCGTGCTATATTCTCAGCCGCAACGGCGCTTGTTTCCATGGTGCTGGCTGCATTCTCAAAAGCATTCACGTAGTACAAATTCCAACTATCCAACATAAATGGAGCAAACTTTTCCGGAGCATGGTAATGGGGGTAAGCACCCCAATTTATTCTGACTGTTTCACTCCTCAAACTGGCAGTGGCAGCAATTAAAAAAAATATAAGCATTCAAAAATATACATTTACAAGGCATGCCAGCAGTTTATGAAGCACAAACACAAACACAGGATACAGGCGACACGACAGAGACACATCATCATGACACTAACACATCAAAACGAAGAATTCCAGAAAAGTAAGACGCATATCCAACAAGGGCACACTACGAATAAATTTTGTANAAACACAAACACAGGATACAGGCGACATGACAGAGACACATCATCATGACACTAACACATCAAAACGACTAATTCCAGAAAAGTAAGACGCATATCCAACAAGGGCACACTACGAATAAATTTTGTATATACCAAATTAGATAGTTTATCCATGTCTACCTAATTGTGTGTTACATAACAAAAACATACCTTATGATTAGTAGATGTTATATCTTACATTGACAAAAAATTTGACCAACATATCATACTGTTTTCTGTAATTATGGACTCAACCAATAGACTATTGGACAAATGTCCCAGGGTGCCCGACACGTCTGTACCCCCCAGGCAGTAGTAAAAATATGAATAACCAACAAATCCTCAAGTCTTTTTTTATATGGTGCCTGACACGTCTTTTTTCATTTTCCAATCAAAGTTTACATGGTATCTTAAACTTGATTGGCAACACAGTATCATTCATCGGAGGAAGAATTGAAGTTTGAATAGGGCTAAAGTTGTCTTGCAAATGATGACATCATCAACAAAAAGTCAATGAGCACAGCAATCAAATTGACCTCTCGTGGGCTTCAACACGAGATTTCAGTTCCGCAATCAGAGATTTTCACGAGTTTTCTTCAATTTTTTAGTGTCGAATCCCTCCTACAAGATGTGAGTCGGTGTTCTTCATGCTGGACTAAAGGATTTAAAGAATTTTAAAACGATTTGTGCATAAAACTGTTTAACCTTTTATTGTACTCACTGTTATTGGCCAAATCTTGCGATCTGAGATTTTTGCAAACTTCTTTCGAAATTTTTATACCACATCCCTCCTAGAAGATGCAAATCAATGATCCTGATACTTGATTGAAGGATTTGAAGCATCTTGACAGATTTGTGTCAATTTGTCAATGTCAGCTAAATGTTCTTGGACTTGTGTAATTTGATTTCTTATGGGCTTTTGTGAGTTTTACATATTCTAGATATTTTTGTTGTGGGCTTGCTGTGATTTGCAGGTTTTGAATCTGATTTCTTACTGGGCTTTGCTTCCTTTGGTTGTGGGCTGATTGAATTTGCATTTATTGTTCAGTTTTTGAGTCATGGCAAGTGAAAATTCTGATTCTCTTCAAGCCATCCGTGTAAAATTAATTGATGCAAATTATGCCTACTAGTCATACATTATGAAGAATTTTTTGTTGGGTAAAAATATGTGGATTTATATCACTGTGTTGTACAAACCCCAATAGATACCAAAACATAAAATTGTGCTTAAATGAAAAACAATTCAGGCATCAATAAGACAATAACGCCAAGATCATTACGCGAATTATCAACCCAATTGATTAGATTATTGGTGTTCACCTAGCTAAGTTAAATAACCAGAGAAATATGCGAGTATTTATCCACGCTGGAGTCCAATTTTGCCAAGATGTATCAACTTGAACATGAGATCTGAGCTGCAAATCAAGATGATAGGAGCAAACAACAGCTGTCCTATATAATGAACGGATTTTGTGATCAGCTGGCCCTTATAGATCCTGCTGAACTGAGTAGTAATCAGCTATCTCATATATATAGAGGAACTTGAGATTGAAGTTGTTGCCTTTTCATGTTGATAGGGTAGTCTTCTTCTATGCTAGGAAGCACGGATACTCGGTGGGGGCTCGCTGTGGCAATGTCGGACACGTGTCCGACAGGGACACGCGTGGGACACAGCCAGACACGTGTCCGACACCTCTAAAAGTGTCCTGCACAGTAAATTTATTTTTTTTCAATACATCGGGGATACGGGGATACTTGGGGGGATACGGCGGGACTGCTTTTATTATTTTAAAAACTTAGGAGGTTGAAACAAAAAAAGAGGGGGATAGGCGACATCATTTTTGGGCTTGAAAAAAGAAAAAACAGAAGGCAAAGGCTGCCCGATCAACGATCTTCTTCGACTTCCAGTCTCTCACTTTCCACTGAGAGAGAGAAAGAGAGATTGAACGATCTAATTTGGGCCTTCAACAAGGAGAAGAGGAGGAGAAGAAGGAGAGGGAAAAGGAAGACCAATCTGCTGCTGCTGCCTGTTGCCAGTTGCCTGCAACTGCTGTTACCACTTACCAGGTTCCTCTTCTTCCTCTTCTTTTTTGTTACCTAGGATCTTCTTTTTTTCTTACTTCTGTTCTATGGAGGGCTTTCAAAAAATTTGATTGGATTAGAGATTTAGGATTTTCAAATTTTAGAGGTTTTTTGTTGTTGATGTATTGTTGTTTTTTTGGTCTAGTGTTGCTGGTTTTCAAAATCTGGATTCTGTGATTCTATCTTCCACTCTTCCTGCTATGTTTGTTGCGTTTTTTTTGGATTGTTATTATTAATGTTGTTATATATATAAAAATATATATAATTATTTTAATTAGTCGTATCCTCACTATACCTGTGTCCTATGTTTGGGAATTTTGTCATATCTCTGTGTCCGTATTGTATGGGATACGACAACCATGTCCATATCTATGCTTCTTAGCTTCTGTGATGACAAGGATTTGATTAAAAATATAAGTAAATCTGAAAAGTGTTTCTTGGATGGGGGTTTGACAATGATGTTATGGAAATGGGCTCCTAAAGCTAATGCCCTTTACAGTCGCCTTTTTTGGTGGCTGCGTGGTTGTCTATAAAGCACGGATACTTAGTTAAAGTCGAAGCATTCGTATCTCATACTATATTGGATATGATACTCGTCAGATACATATCGAACATACACCAAACGTGTCAAATAATAAATAAAATATATAGATATTTCGCAGATACTTCTATACTAAGAAACATGGACATGAATACTATAAGACACGGACACTTAGACATGAAATTTTTCAAAAAAGTAGGACACAAGCACATAGAAGATAAGTCAAATAATATGTATATATATATATATAAAATCATGTAATAAAAAAATATTATCATAATAATCTTTTAATTTATCATTTTCCTAATTCTAAAAATTCAAATCATGATATCACTGCATAAAAAATACAATATAAGATATACGGATTGTCGATATACATTCAACACTAACATCCATGATCTAGTAATCCATGACTGCAACAACTTTCATTTTAAAAAATATTTCATTTCGTAACAATAATTTTCATCAATTTCAAAGAGTCTCAATTTTGTAACTCTATTTTTTTTCACTTTATTTTTATATTAAAAATTTATTCCATTTGTATATAAGTTTGTATTCTTATTTAAAATTATATTACATTCATGTCATATGTTCAATGTACTAATTATAACTTCCTTTTATGCTATGACTTTGACTCATTTTTTTAAAATTATAGAATTAACTATTAATTATAAAGTTATCTGAAAAATTCTCATAATTATTTTTTAAAAAAATCTGAAAACGTGTTCATGTCCCAAACGTGTTTGATTCCAACACTCTGGCCAAAATGAAGCGTCCGTACTTCCTAACTTCTACATACAGAAAAATATGTATAATTTTTAGTTCTAATCTTTACCTCTCCTTTCAATTTCACATACAATGCAATATATCAACAAAAATTCATATAACTTTGAAGGTACATGGGTGTTTTTCAAGTATTATTCATTATAACATGTCCAAAGGCAAAGAGTATAAATGAGCTAATTAAACTATAATCTTAGCAACAAATACTTCTAAGGAAACAATATAGTTTATTTTTTATTCTTATTCCTTTAATTAATTTTTTTCATTTTTGTAGATGTTCCATAGTGAGACCATATATAGCATTTTGATAATGAAAATTTGTTAATATTGTTTATTATGTTTAAAGAATCACTAAAAATTATAGTCATAAAGCCGTTACATAATAGTACAACTATCAAATATATTTTTTATAAACGTATTCTAACCGTATCCATATCTTATTTTTTGGCATTTTGTTGTATCACCGTACCCGTATCGTATCGTATCATATCATACCCATATCTCGTATCTGTATTAGTGTTTCCTAGCTGGCTATAGATGATTTGCCTTTCCATATTTGAAAAATGTTTGTGCTTTAAAAGATTGGGGATTGTTCTGGAGGATTCCTTGAGGTTGACTGTGATTCGATTTACATGCAAAATTTGTTTCAAGTAAAGATTAAGGTTGCTAAACCAGTTTCGGAATTCCTTCTAACTCAGTTAAGCCTTGATTTGACACGTAAGTTGTATAAGGTGAACATTAAGGTTTTTGGAAAAGGAAGGATGAAATGGTTTTAGTTAGGGGTGTTCACCCAATATTACGTGTAGAAAATATAGTCTTCCGTCTTCCTATCCGATACTATGCAAAANGACTCAGTTAAGCCTAGATTTGACACGTAAGTTGTATAAGGTGAACATTAAGGTTTTTGGAAAAGGGAGGATGAAATGGTTTTAGTTAGGGGTGTTCACCCAATATTACGTGTAGAAAATATAGTCTTCCGTCTTCCTATCCGATACTATGCAAAAAAAAAAAAAAATTTGGTCTACCCTACCCAATCAAGTATGGTATTTTTACCCAACTTTCGACCAAATTAATCGGGTAGAAAATTAGGTGAACATTTTTGTAGTCATTAATTTTTAGATCATTTTAAAAATTCAATTAAATAACATGCACCAATTTAATAACACAATAAACCAATAACACCAAAATCTAAAATAATTACAATAAAGCATAAACATCAATTCATCATAATTGTTGCACAAATACAATAACAATTATTTTAAATTTAAACCATATGGTTAGGAAATTAAGGT